GTGTACAATATGGCATCCCCGTCGCTGGCTTTCCACCATTCAAATTAATATACTCATATCTCTCTGTTTGCTCTCTTCTACCAAAAGTTCATGCGCCCTAGAATAATATCTCATGTGCATATACATGGATAAAGCTCTCCCTCCTCTATTTGATGAACCAAACCTTGAGGTTCCACTTTCCCGTGACCGGAACTTCGCCCTCCATGGTGAAATCATGTTGCTGGTTCTTCTCCTGCTGTTCTCAATGTTTCTTCTCTTCCTCTTCCTTTTTTTCTACATAAGACGTTCTCGTTCTCGCAATAATATTGATGCTAATTAATCATTAGGATTCATTGCAGGGAGATTGGTAGGCCTTATCGTCTGTAGAGCTCTAGAGAGGAGTTAATTAGTCTCCACTGGTAGCTGATTTTATGGCACCAAGTGTTTGGTTGCAAATGTTGTTGTTGTTGTTTTTTTTTTTTTTAGTTAATCTCCTATCAATTCTGTTGTTTTCATTAGTAATTTCACGAGGTGTTTTTCTGACCTTATAATATTCTTGTTTTTGTTTTATGAAAAAAGGTGGTCTAATAATTAAATTAAGACAGGCACCATAACTGTCTTAATTTAAAGGAAATAATTAGTTTCTTTCATCTTCCTCAAATATAAAACCAAATAAATACTAAGTAATTTACTTTTGGAATCATACTTAAAATTAATAATTATAGAAATATATTTAAAAAAATTTACAACAGTGCCAACAATTTAAATAACTCAGTAATAATCTCTTTCCATTGAAATTAAGAGATCATGAGTTCAAATCGCTTGATATTTAGGCGGGATAAGATGAGGAAAGAGAGAGGGGATTGACTCCCGCTATGCAACTAATCATAAAGAAACAATAATAATAATAATAATTTTACTATGGTGGTATTTGGTCTCAGTTGGTTAGAGCATCGTACTAATAATGCGAAGGTCGCAGGTTCAAGACCTCCATGGGCCACTTAACACCTTATTTTTTACCCCAAAACGATTTCGGAAGTTAATTAGAACGAACTCTGTTTCCCTTGTAATGGGCTTCCCAAACCGCATGGAAATGGGCTTAACGCCTTAACGTCACATTCGAATCCATTCTTCTTTCTCCCTTCTTCTTCTTCTTCTTCTTCTTCTTCTTCTTCTTCTTCCTCTTCTTCTTCTTCTTTATATATATATATTTTACAAATAACATGAATTTTGAATTTTTGCTGCGAAATATTCATGTTTATACCAATTTCAGAGACAGAGAATTTTAGGTGCGGACGTAAATCAATATTGCAATTAATTACTAGTTCGTTGAGAAAAAAAAATGACAAAAAAAAAAGAAATTAAATAAGCAAATCTTGTACTCATCACATTGTAACTTGGAATGAACTCTTTTAATTTGGTAATAAGAGAATATATTGTAAGGCATTAAACAGCAGCAAGTCTTGGAACATCGCACAGCTGTATTCCAAGTATTGATTCCATTGAAAGAGGAAATGAGATTTCCTAGCTAAATTTAAATTGGCTGCTCCTCCAAGACGCATCTAGATTTTAGAAGCAACAGCTTTTTGAGAAACTACTTAGCAGTAGTTTTTAATTCACTTCCATTTTATCAACAATGTCTCATTTGCTTCTCGAGAAGAACAGCGCTCTCTTCCCCCTTTCCCTATAATAAGATGCTAATTAATAAAAACAAAGTTTTTTTATTTTATAATCTAAATTGTACAATACATAAATAATTGAATAAAGAAACAACTCTAATAATAAATATTCTATAGTTCTACACAATACTTTTTTAAAAATAAAAATAACATAAACTATGGCATATAAGACACAAAGATTATGTTTTTTCCTTGCTCCAAATTCAAACCCCGTGGCTAGGTGATATACAAGGCATTGAAATTAGAAAGATAGAAAACAAGAACAATGTTAATTAAAAGTTTTTTTTTATTGATTTCTGATACTAATGATACAAGAGAAAAGGAAAAAAAAAAATTAGGATAAGTACCTCAAGATCTCACTTAGAATTTCCAAAATTCATAGAGTCAGATCCAGAGTACTTGCCCTTCCTGAATTCTCCTTACTATGATCTTTTTCTTTCAATCTACTAAACTTCGACAAAGGTGAGTACAAAGACAATGATAACTCGTTCTCCAAATCATTGTCATGCTTTTGCTTATTTTGATCTTCATTCCCTCTTGTTAGCCTTAGAGAAAGATCCAAGTCCAGGTTGCAATCCGGGGCTTTCCTTTTCATGGACTTGCTGCACTCGGGTGAATTCCATTCAATTGAAGGAGGGGTGGTGGTTTGGATGAAAGCAAAATGATCTTTGGTAAATTTGGCTTGTGTTTGGAAAGTCTCGTGAATTTGGTGAGTTTTCCAGGGAGGCATGGGAGCAAAAGGGGGAGTTCCCATGCTGAAATTATTATTAGGCCAACTTTTGATGCTGCTATGGGAGATCCTCCCCGTGACAGTGCCGTGAAATAATCCTTGATCGGAAAAACTCCGGCTCATGTAAGGATTTCGGAGTAAGTATTCCCTTGCTGCAGTCCAGGAAGAGCCTCCAAATCTTGATAAGAACAAATATATATTTGAATTGAAATTAATTTCATAAAAAAAAAAAGTATACTAACGATAATGAATTTATCCATTGCTTTAATTTCATATACCTGAAATTGGAAGCGTTAACTCGATGATTATTATCCGGTAGCATTGGAAGTTGACTTAGGTTATAAAGATTTTGACCTCCACTTTCCACAAGATGCTTATGATCTGTTATAACTGTCCCAAAAGAAACATATATGGGTTTGTTAGACCCAGCTTGATCGAAAACACTATAAATAGAAGAAGGGTGAAAATAAAAATAAGAAAAAAGAGATGAATCATCCATATACCTTGCCTTGGATCATCAATTTTCTTGCTTCTATACATCTGAGAAAAATACAGAACAAGATTAACAGCGAGAGGAAATGATTAATTCCATGATGAAATTAATGAAAAGATTAAAAGATGAGAAATTTAAGCTATAGATTTTGCTTTTAATTAATTGATTTAACCTGTAAATGGCTCTTGACATGAGCAATACTAAGCCCTTTGATGTTCATCAATTGAAGAACCAACTTCGGTGTCGCTCCTGCACCAAAAATTCTTATTCGGTTTCTCCATGAATACTACTGATAATTGGCTATCAGATTGATAAGTATAAAGGGCATGGAACTCACTTTCTTGACCCCCAAGTCTCTCTACAGCATGAACAAATCGAAGATGGAGATCTTGGGTCCACCGGAGCCTTGGCATCTTGGATCTGACATACGGCCTCACCGATTGCTTCTTCTCATTTTCCTCCACTGTGCTGTTGCTCGAGCTTCCACCATTTTCAGGCATACAGCTTCTGCCCTCTTCATTTTCACTCTCTGCTTCTGGAATATTTTGGTTACTTGGACTCGTGTTTGAGCATTCCGTGCCTTCCATGGGCCTCTCTCTATAGCTTCCCCCTTGTCTTCCTCTTTCCAAGTATGAGAATTATATCAATAACTGTATAAATACACGTGAAAGAATATACACCAATAAATCATAATTAACTAGGCAACAAGCTAGGGTTTCCTGTGTTGCTCGCTCTCAAGGCTAATAAGCTTTAATTACACATATTCTTCTATGGCAGCTGGGCAGAGAGAAAGCAAACTAGCTCTTTCCCGGAAGAAAAGAAACATAGTTGAGACAAAGAAAAAACTAGAAGAAAAGGTTAACAAAATTCTATGAATAGAGAGAAACGATGAGATAGAAACCCTAGATCTTGACAGGGGAAGACATATATAAAACCTTTTAGCTTCCTCTCTCTTTCTCTATTGGAACAAGTAAAGAATTGTTTACATACATGCTTGTGTATATTTTATTTGGGGAATATATACTATGCAAAAACATGCTAACGCAATCATGCATTGATGCATGGATATGATGTTGAAGCCATTCATGCAAATTAAAATTAAGAAAATGTTACATACCAAATGAAGACTTGGAATGGTATATACTATATAATGAGACTGAGGTCTCAAAATTTTAAGATTTTAAATTCTAATAATGTATGATGAAAGCAGGTTAGTTGCCTAACTTCTTGAATATAAGGGTAGTTCTTTTTTATTCAATGGTATTAATTTTGTGATTTAACACTGTACGAAATATAAAACTTGACTTGTGGATTTTTTTTTATACCATTTGATTAAGCATTTGATTTAAAATTGGAAGAAAAAAAAAAAAAAAAAAGGGCTACTGCTCCTTATCTAGAGAGATGATATGTGAATCTGAGATGTATGGCTCTTAAAGAAATTAAAAATTTTGTTGCTAATTGGAGAAAACACAGGAAGTTTATTAATTTATTACAAAATTTTAAAATATTTTTGTCGGAATTTGAATTGAACTGTATGAATAACTTCAAAGTAGACTTTTGTTCTTGTAGTATTTTGTCCCTTTTGCTAAATGAAAAAGAGAAGACTTTGGAAACTGATCTTCTTAGCCGCCGGTTTGAAAAATTCTTCCCACCCTTTCTTCTATTAAATTCATTTTATAAACTGTTCACTATTCCATTAGTCTAAGAAATTAATATGAAATATATATATATATATATATATATCTAAAGAATTTTTTTTTTTATGAAATTAATGAGTTCATATAATACACCTGGATCAATATAGATTTGTATATATTTGTACCAAAATCATTATTTGAAATACAAGTTTAGTATTCTTCATTTAAAGGTCTATATTAATTTATTATCTCACTATATAACTCAATTGATTAGGTAAATATTCTTTTAATTTTTAAAATAAATATTTAAGATGTTAATTTTTTTAGAAAAAAAAAATTATTATAAGAAAGAAAAGAGTGCATCATCGAAAGGTTTCTTATTGAAAGTAGTTGATATCGTCATTTAAATTGACAATTGTTGAAACCTCAGACCTCAGAAAACAGGTAAGAAAGACTCAAAATTATGCTTGATGAAGAAATAAATGTAGCATCTTTGAGCAGATCTAGAGACTGAGGAGAGGGGATGCATGTGTTGCTGATGCAGACCCAAACTGGAAGAAGATACCATTGAATTTGTCTTTGCAACGTGAATCACGGACTATGTTCCTCCTCGAGGTAGGTAAAGAAACTTTGGCTTAACTTAATGAGTTTTTCTATTTTATACTTTTAGTATACAAGATAAAGAGACATTTATTATAGTTTTTTGTTATTAATACACATAATAAAATTAAAAATTGACATTAATTTTATTAATTGTTTAATAAAAAATGTCAATGTGGTATAAATGTTAAATTAATGCTAAATTTTTTTATTTTTCATGTAAATTAATACATAAAAAATACGTTTAAGATCCCTTTAAATTGTGCTTTTAGAGCAAGTCAAACAAACCCTAACCTAATTCATCATGGTAATTAATATTGCAACTCTCTCATGCACTTCTTAATTAGTTAATGAGTTTTTCTAACAGTGCATTATTTGTATCTTTTTTGTATAATAAATTCTTATAAAAAATTATAAAAATAAATATTATTTTTAACCTCAATGCTTCTTTGATGATTTTAATTAAGTTGTTGATAAATTTAAAATAAACTTATATTATATATATGTGAAAAATCAGTCATTTTTAGTAATTAAAATGTCAAAATAAGAGTAATAAAAAGACTTTAAATATTTTTAA